TTCTGGAATGGATACTGTTCGACTTCAAGGTATGACTGTACAACATTTAATTTCCTTCCATCGTAGAGATGGGAAAGGCTGTTTCAGAAAGATGTTGCTTTGCCACCGGATACATGATGATAGAATCACATGCAAGATCCAAACAGTTGCTTATAGGAAGCCTAGTCTTGTTGAATTGCTATCGTTGGCTTAGACCATAAGAGGAATTAATGCAGGCGAGTTGTTGAAAGTATATATCCTGTCTCCCTTTGCACTTCCCTGTTCACCCTCAGAAGCCTCTCTGGAAGGTCCGGGACCTCCCTGAACATTGTAGGCTGGGACAGGACTGACTTTTCCTAGCCCCTCCAAGCCCAGCCCCACATTTTCACGGGGACCTGTGAGAGGATTTGGGGGGGGGGGTTGTAGGTGGCTGTGGGGGAAGAGAAGATAGTTCCGTTTCTTTGTTGTAAAATAAAAAAAAATACAACATACAGTATACAATGGCAGTGAATGAACCCGTCACCAGAAAGGTATATTCACCAGGAAGACCTGTTAATTATCTGTATGTACAGTACTGGCTAATTGTGATATAGTTCTTACCAAAACCTGCTCCGGTTCCCTATTGTCAGTACATCTAATTACACATATTGCCTCTTGACTAAATTATTGGAAAGGGGTGCTAGCGAATTCTGTTAATTCTGTCCGTCGCTTTTAAAAGCTAACTTACACTTGCTTGTGTTACAAATCTGTGCCTGTCATTGTAAGGTGGCTATTATCTCTCGTGTGAGAAGCCATAGAATTGTAAGTTGACAGTAGCTGTACCTCAGTCTCCCTTAAAGACAAGACAGGGATAAGATTTAAAGTGATTGAGAATATTTTGCATTGATGTGGAGCCTTGCTTTCTAGATAACTGAGAACTGCTGCTGTCTTCCTTCTGTCAGATGAAAGATTTAGAGTTGCTCCAAAGAAGGTTATGACGAATGCTTGATGAATACTGAGCCATTGTTTAATCTGTTTTGTTTGCCATGAGAAGAACCAGTTCTCCCTAATCTTCCCGGGGTTATAGGAGCTACCATGATGGTTGATAAGTTTTAGTTAGCATTAGCATTTAGTTAGTTTAGTTTAGGTTTTTGTAACACTTGAGACTCTGATACATTGATTCCTCCCACTTCTACCATCACATCGTCTTTAATGCTAGCTTGCCTGCCAAATATTCTTAATAATAATTTCTGCTGCAATTGTTCAGTAACTGTATTGTCTTTTAAAAGATACGCCTTTTGCTGCATAAGTAGTTTTTATGCAGGGCTTTTAAAGGCCGTCTTGCGCGACTAACTTGTGGCCAAAGTGAATGCATCTTGCCATCCATGCATGATGGCCCATCGCTGATTGACAATTTGTAGGTAGGCAGCGAAAACAGATAGTTAAATCACTTGCCAAGCCGCAGGATGTGGCCAGTGGGTTGTGTTAGGCTTGGCAAGCTGCAGCTTGTGTGTGTGCGCTTTGCGTCGTGCCACCTGTTGTTCAGAGCTCTTGGAGCTTAGGCTTAATATTTATTCAATACACTTAGGCAGTGTTTGTGTTTTGCGGGTCTCCAGATACACCATAACAGCAAAGAATAGCAACGTCTTACAAAGAGATAACTTGGTCATCGTTCCGTGTTGAAAACCTTGGGTGGATTCAGAGCAGATCCGCAGCATACATTGGAAGCACCCCCAAAACACATTTAAAGCGCATAACTTAGAATCATAGAACCGTAGAGTTGGAAGGGACCATGAGGGTCATCTAGGCCAACCCGCCTGCAATGTGGGAATTCGTCCAACATGGGGCTCGAACCCACAACCCTGAGATCAAGAGTCTCATACTCTACCTACTGAGCCATGAATGAAATTGCTCCCGCCAAAGAATCCTGGGAAATGTCATTTGTTAAGGCTGCTGGGAATTGTAGCTCTGAAGGGGAAACTACAGTTCCCAAGATTCCTTGGGGCAGGTTGTGTGCTTTAAATGTGCATTGGCTGTGCTTTATATGGCTGGGGTAGATCTTCCCTCGGGTGACTTCATAAAAGCTGGCATTTGTGAAGGCTGTAATTCCATGTACATATTGACTACCTTGTTAAGTCCAGTATCCCCAACTTTCTGAAGCTGCCTGGGCAGCCAGAGAAGCAGAACATAGCTGAAGCTGGGCTTAAGCAGGGGGTCAGAGGCTACATCATACTCCTTCCCTTGTTTACAGGGGCCAAGCAAAGAACCTTTAAGAAGACTCTGCATCTAAATGTGCCAGAACAGTGGTGACACCATTCCATAGCATCCCCATTAAATTGAAAGTGACTGTGTGTGGGTGTTTGCAGTATACATCTCACTATCTTGGTTTTGCCATATACCGTATTTTTCCGTGTATAAGACTAGGTTCCCCCCCTAAAAATAATGTCAAAAATTAGGGGGTGTCTTGTACACGGATAGTGCCGAGGGTGGACTGGCGATTGGTTGTTTCCCCGAAAATACATGGGGGGGGGAGTCTTCTAGATGGAAAAATACGGTATGTCACATCTACTACCCTGCCTTTGATAAGACTTTTAAGACCTGTTGACTGATCTGCACCTTTTGGGTGTCCTTTGAAAACCCGTGACAAAGGGGGGGAGAAGCTTAATTTAAGGTGCTAATTGAAATTCAACACCCCCCCCCCCCGGTTTCACAAAGCATCACATTGGCTGGTGCTAGGCTTTAAAGTCCCTTGGTGAGATCAGAGCAGTGCCAGGTCAGGACAGATTGGTTGACAACTTGGGTCTGCACCAGGACTTCTGATGCAAACAGACCTAACACCAGGTAGCTGATTCATTTGCAAGATTATCCTAAGTCCAGTCTAGACTCAGTGCACAAAGATCATTGGAATGAAATGGGCAGTGGGTTGGATTTTTTTTCCTCCAATGTCCACATGAAGGCTGCCCAAGTCTTTTTAAAATTGGTTAAGCAGAGAAAACTGTCTTATCTGGAAATTCCTGGAGTTCTTACAACATCACTTGTTCAGTTTCACTCCTGCTGCCCAGGGGAAAATATCCTAGATTGGTCACCCAAACATCATGAGGAAGAAATATAAGAAACCCCTCTTTAAAAGAGGGCTGTGTTCACCTCTCTCCCAAAAGCATTGCTGAGCCTGATCAGAAATTGGTCTTTATTAGCTCTGAAGGGACAAGGATCCAAATTACTGTACTCCAAGTACAGTGTTAGGGACGCGGGTGGCGCTGTGGGTAAAAGCCTCAGCGCCTAGGGCTTGCCGATCGAAAGGTTGGCGGTTTGAATCCCCGCGGCGGGGTGCGCTCCCGTTGCTCGGTCCCAGCGCCTGCCAACCTAGCAGTTCGAAAGCACCCCCGGGTGCAAGTAGATAAATAGGTACCGCTTTATAGCGGGAAGGTAAACGGCGTTTCCGTGTGCGGCTCTGGCTCGCCAGATGCAGCTTCGTCACGCTGGCCACGTGACCTGGAAGTGTCTCCGGACAGCGCTGGCCCCCGGCCTCTAGAGTGAGATGAGCGTACAACCCTAGAGTCGGACACGACTGGCCCGTACGGGCAGGGGTACCTTTACCTTTACCTTTAAGTACAGTGTTGGCTCTACACCTCGCAGTTGGTCTAAGCCAGGGTTTTCCTAAGTCACATCTCTAGCTGTTTTGGGACTGCAGTACCCCCTCACCCCTGACCACTGGTCCTGCTAGCTAGGGATGATGGGAATTGTAGTCCAAAAACAGCTGGAGACCCAAGTTTGGGAAACCCTGGCCTAAGCGACGATGACAGCTGGGTGCGCCCAGTGTTGATCAGTGCGGTAACTGGCAGAAATGCAGCAATATCACATCTGGTTTAAGATTAAGGGATCACTGCAAGTTTACCATTTCAAATGTCTATTCTACACAGTACTTTAAGGGTTAGAGTTAACTAGCGGTAGTAAGAACAGAATGATAAAGGATCAATGGGGGTTCTTACGCAATTCCTTTCTTTTCAGGCTGAGTGGGGGAGAGTTGGAATCATGCAGCCAGCTATGATTCTGATAACCTTCCAAATTGCAATTACCCTGTTAGTTATTGGACAAGGTGCCGTGCTAGTTTGAGCAGTAGGAAAACGCAATATCCTGCCTTCCTTGAGGGCAGATATCTGGATCCTACAAATCAAATGAAGTAATGCTGTACTGCAAATTTAATGTCTGGATGGGCTCATAATAACACTTGTGTAGCTGCCCTGTGATGCATTTGTGGAAAGTAACTGTTGGAGATTTGGCATTTTGATTGCAATGCTACACTTAGTAGAAAGTGCTGGAAGGAAGAAAATATTGTTTTAAAATCAGAATAGCATAATTAAGGCTTGTTTATGTGGCTAGTAAACATGGGAAGAACATTCCTTATTTCATCCATTTTACTTCACACTTAAGTGCATTATCGTATAACCATTTCTGTAACAGATTAACATTATGTTATGAGAGAGGTTGTCTATTTTTGCTGTGAAAACTAGTTGTAAGGGCAGGTTGTCTCGGCTTTAAAGAAACTTAAAATTTAATAATTCCTTAGATTAGGTCAGAGATGTGGTGTGTGATGAACACGTGTGGGATGCATTGGACACATAATTATAATTTCTGGCTCTGATAAAAAAAGTTTGGTGTTCATTAATATAGTTTGATATATCAGAAGAGAGCCATCTGGAAAGATTTAAAAACCTTAATGTCGCACAAGTTATGTCAAGCCAATAAACTCTTTTGGTGGCAGAAAGCTTAAAAACAAAGCTTTATATATTTACAGCAACTCAAATATATATATATATGTTTAAAAGTGTACACCTTTTAAGGCTATTTTTATATAAAATATTTACGTAGATGTATATTGGAGGACAGCATATTGACAAAATATTTCCATGGTATTACTCTTAACAAACTGCCATGCAACACACACCTTGACTAATGAAGAAATAGAATATACAGGCCTTTTCTATTTAGCACATGTCAAACATTTACAGTCTACCCAATTCTATCGTCCTTTTTTTTTATAAAAAAAAAGATCCTTATTTGGCAGTATTTACTTCAGCTTCTTCTTAACATTTCCTATTAAATGATTCGGTGCATACTGAAATCTAATCTGTGACAACCTGAGGTACTAGGCATTTTTGTCTTACTTCATGGTCTTCAAAAGTAATTGTCTTGTTCCTCTTGGGCTCTATCCACGAGTTGTGTATAACAGCATTATTTGGAATGGGGTCAGCTTCCACTATTGAAACAACGCGTTTTTTCATTTTGCTTTTCAGAACTTTCTGAAATTTCTGTCGGGTGAATGCGTATAGTAGAGGGTGGAAAATGGTAGTTCCGTATGCCATGACTAGAAAACATAACCTCAGTTTTACCAAAAGGTCACTTGGGCCCAAACATAAAATGGTAGTGTTTAAAACCGTAATTGGCGTCCAGCAGAGAAGAAAAGTTGAAATGATCAACAGTGACATCCTGAAGACTCTCTTCTGTCTTTCCCGCCTTTCGCGATGTCTCTTTACAGCTCTCCGTAGGGCAATTATAACAGAAACGGAAGTCCTCACGCCAAAGACGACGTTTCTCCCTCCACTGCTTTGGGATACTTCAGTAGTTTCGTGTTGCGTGGACAAAGAAATGGTTTTTTTCTTCCTTGCTTTTTTCTTCTGTGCCGTGGAGAACCTTGTGCCTATTCGGATATTGAGTGCCTGGAGGATTTTGCTGTACGTAATTAACATTACTATAACGGTGAAAAAAAATATAGGAATCTGCACCAAAAGGTGGTAGTACATTCCCAGCTCTGTGTAGTATTCATTGGTGCTGACGCACAAGAGCGTCTTATTCTCCCAAGTATTGGCACTTTGAAGACTGAAGAAATTCACTTCGATGAATGGAATTAAGAAGGCGAAGAAAGAGACGATCCATATCGATGTCATGAGCGTCACAGCCCTTCCCATCGTCAAGATCCGGTTTGCAGGCTTCACAGAGATATCGTATCGGTCCAAAGTGATAGCAAAGACGTTGATTGCGGTGGAGACACTTGCGAAGGAGACACAAGCCTCGTGGAAGCAGCAGATCAGTGCTGTGTTGCTCTCCAGAGAAAGCAGAAGAATAACTATAGTTAGAGGGATACATCCCACACAAATTATTACATCAAGGACGTGCAGGTTCATTGTAATAATGTTACTGACCGAGTTGATTAAGTTGGATTTCATGCAGTAAAGTACCAAGACAGTGAGGTTGCTGCCAAGTCCCAATACAATTTCTAGCATCAGAAATCCAGTAAGAGAAACTTGAAAGCTTAATGGATAAGACAGTGGTTGGTACATATTTGTGTCGATGTCGTCAATGGCATCTCGAACTGTAATGTTGGATTCAGACTGCATGTTGACTTCTAGAATGGAAGAGAAACACATTCTTTGGTTGGAAGTTTGTTTTGCCCTGAAAGATGAGAGAGAACATATAAAGCTGTTTGTTTTTTGGATGCTCGTCATAATTTACACGTCTACAGAAAAGCAGGTTTTGGTTTTTATTAGCTTTTAATTAACACACGGTGACTTTGGAATTGTACTTAGCTTGCAGGAATTGAAGGCAGTAAAAAAAGAATTTTTTTTTAACAAGGCTGTAACATTTGCAATGCAAACTGCATGCACAGCTTTGACCTTTGTACTTGTTGGAAACTAAGCCATATTATTTTATATGAAGCTTTTGTGGGGAAAGGGAGGTGGCTATATTTCAAAGAAACATGCATTTTGCATTTCTTCCTCTGGATGATAACTCCACCTTGAAACATTTATTTAGATTACAGTCATGTTATTGGAATGGTCTACTGCTATCTCTTTGGAAGGTGTCTTGTATCGAGTGATTGTCTTTGATGTATCAATACGTGTAAAATGTTGTGGGTGCATATAAATTGATTGTGCAGTTATAAGTGAATGTTTGCACATAATGCGCAAAGATTTGCAAATGTATGCACAGTCTCTTGCACTGGTTTCATAAACTATTGATACATCTTTTTTATGTGCCCAGCATGTTCCATGCAAGGAAATTCAAGCTGCTAGCAGAGAGAGTGGCTTCGTAGTGTTGAGTTGTTGAGCTGCATGAAGCGGGAGAATTTAATCACAACATCTTTGTCATCTTGTTAGACAAGAATACATATTTTGTCATGGTGGGGTTACGTGGGCAGGGTCAAGTGGGTGGTGCATTTGTGTGTGTTTTCTGCACAAAATACTGTAAGTCATCTTCCATCCCATGTTGAAGATTTACAGTTTACTGAAATAGCATTAATTGTGGCCATATGACTTCTGCTATGACCACACCCTGGGCAGTTTATGATTCCAGTGTCACATATTTAATAATAATAATTTTAGGTGCTTGCTAATTGACTGCTTCTGAAAGGTGAACCACTTTCTGTGCCTTAGGCCTTCTGACAGTGCTATTTACTCAAAAGTAAGTCCCATTGTGGTCACTGGGGCTTACTCCTAGGTAAACGTGCATAGAGTTGCTGCGCAAGATATTTCGGCAAAAACCGATTTGTCTTGGTTGTTTCATATCTGTGTTTACACCCTTGTAAAATGAACATTTTAAAAATAAAATGACAGTTATTAATCCTTTCACTCGGAAATTTCAATAATAGGTTGGGGTTTTGGTTAATTATTAGCTGGCATATTTATTGAAGAAGGGCAATGATTTTTATACTATAAGAGTTTTGGTTAGGAAATACAGCAGAAAACCCTTTAAAAAATACTAGCTGTTACTCTTATCACCAGATGCAAGTTTTGAATGTCTTAGATGGCAATTTCTTCTGTTTATGCGGTCTTAGCCATAGGGACATGTTTACAGCTATTCTAAATGTATTGTAAATTATATACCCTTTGCAGTGGTTAACAAAAAACTCAGAAAGATTAGAGGTAGTTGAGCTGAAGCAAGGCACACTGTATAACCTAGCCTGTTTTACTAGGCTAAGCTGCAGGAACATGCAAACTGAAATCTTACAAAAATGGAAAAATTCCCCATGTGCCAACTTTTAGACAGACAGATTAAACATTAGGTCTTTGTCGCACCAGCCAGTTAGATAGATGTTCAGTTAAATAAAAGCAGAGATGTCAAGATGGGAAGGTAATTAAAATGAAACGCATACCCAGAGCTGTGCTCTTTTCTTCTGCAAATGTTAAAACAGAGGTTGGGTGCATGCAACATCTGACCTACCTGTTTTCTGTTGCCTCAGGGGCCTTTCAGCTCACTATAGCAGCTTCTCATAAATTCATACATGGTGTCACTGACAGATTTTGACATGCGTTTTCACCTGGCAACAGAAAGATGGCTGCGATCTGTTTCCAGCCTTGCAGAATATTTTAGTTTTTCTTTTTGTTTTCAGCACATCAGCAGCAGATGAAAAAAAAAGCACAATTGAACAAAAAGGCTTAATTATAGGTTCCTACAGACCAGAGCCTGGTGTATATGAGTTGTCTCTCCCTTTTAAAAGCCACCGGTGGACAGCAACTCTTTTGTGATTGATTCATAATTTCTAGCCTCTTCTCCATTGTTTGGCACCACTTTTTAATTTCATTTCTAAAAATGTAAGCTGCAGAATAGAAATTAACACTGGACTTCAAAAATGCCCTTTTGTTAGAGTTGTACAATGGCTTGTGTGGTACTTTTGTTCATTAGTGTGGAGTCCTGGGTTTGCCACAAAAATTGCTGTGTGTTGCATTAATCCAGTTACTGTGTGCTCATTTGCAGCTACTATAACTCGGGTCATAAACTACATCAGCTGGTTAGGATAGTTCCCTTAAACTTTAGTCACTGTACTAAGTGCTACAAATGGCGTTTTATTGTTGTATATGACATCCTTGGAGCCAAATTTTAGCATGCTCGTATTTATCTAGATATTCCTTCAGGGAAAATTTGTGTTACTGTTTCTTCATTCGTCAGCCAAATCCACAATTCTGGTTTTATGTTATAAATCCATTTGCAAGAGGTGCTCACCATTTTGCTTCAGCAATAAGCCACTGAATTAATCTTCTCTCCTTGAGTATTTGAGCAGGTGCCTTTGTTAGTCCTCTCTGTCCATATATGCATCACACGCCATTCAAGGGGGAATGTAGATCCATAACTTTCTTGTAAATCCTTGGGTTTAAAAACATATATTATAATAAGAACATCCCGATAGCTGTTGTGAAGATCTGCGGGCGACTGTGTTTTTCTTGTTGTTGGTAATAAAACCGAATCAGATTATATGCTCCCTTGAAAAGGAAGATGAAACATGATAAAAGCAGAGATTCTATAATAATTTAAATACAATTATGACTGAATACATGCTTCTAGTATCATCTGATTGCACACTATGAGAGATGGCTTCTGTCAGACAGTGTGAAATTGTTTTCTGTAGGAGTATATAACATTAACAAAATTATTTAAGTACTTCCGAATATGGTAGTTCTCTTCTGTTCTTCCCCATCCTGAAATACCTTTCCATTTGGATCCATTTAGACTGGATATATTTTAAGATTACGTTAAAGCCAAGGATACAGTAGTAGTTAGGGGAGGAATGTTTCTACAATTAAAAAAACAATCATTCATAAGTACTGTGGAATGCAGCTTTAACAATAGACTAGTTTACATACTAATGTATTGGCTTCATGTGACCATGTAAAAGTCTCCATCCACTGCTTTGTAGGAATTATAAGTAGCATTTGATTTCCTTACTTTGTGTAAGCTTATTTTCATTAGACTTCTTCAGACATACCTTCAGTAGCAAAGCGTTTAACAGAAACACACACACACACACACACACACACAATTTCCCCATAGGCAACCTGGAATTAGTCATATAACCCATCCCCCACAAAAAAGCATTTATGATCCTTTATGGGATATTTGAATTTGTTAGTGACATATGCGGCTGCCTAATATATATTTTTTTCAAATGGCCTTGACAGAAGAAAGCATTTTAACTGCATTAAGAACTATTTAGCAGCCGAAACCTAAGCTGTGCCATCCCTTAAGAGGTACAGACACTGTAATCTTCCAGATCGCATGAATTTACAGGCAAAACACTGTTGAAGGATTTCATCCTTTTAAATGGAAGAAAGCATATTTGAATGCTGTGTGTCCTCAAAAATAAAAGCAGGAAGCCAAATCAGAATTTTAAGCTGAACCTCCTGTCATCTCTCTCCCCTTCACAAACATTGTTTCTTAGCTACTGCTGAGGCGCTGTATTGTAAAAAGGAATGTGCCTTACCTCTATTGAGGATGCAATAAATTCCCGAAGCCGGTGGAACAGTTCCAGTTTGGAGGGATTCATAGTTTGTTTGTTTTTTGGTGGTGGTTGTTTTTTTTTTCACTTGTTAGCAGAGTACAGGGGGAAGAGGGTGAATAGCATTTCTCCGAAAAAGGACCTTAATGAAAATTTGCGCTTGTGCTGTGCCATTGTTTCCGCGCTGTTTGTTCACATGCACACAGCATGCAGTGCTGCTTTCTGAGCGTGCTGCAGTCTCCCGCTTCCCACCGTAGAATCAATAAGCATCTGAAAATGCATAATGAAAGTCATTTAACATACTGAAGGCTTCTTGTCTCCAGAGGCAGCGCAGGCTTTCGGAAGAGGAGCCGCTTTGGCTGCCTAGGAAAGCTTGTTCCGGGCAGCCTGAGCAGAATGACAGCCTACCTTGTCGCTTCCCTTCACTGCAGAGAGATGCAGTGCATTCACTAATTTTGATTGGTCAGTGATGTTCGGCTTAAACTGTGCTTCATGCATATGGGAGTGAATTTTCTTTTTCTCTTTTTAGAGGAAGCTTCTGTTTAAAGGGCTATTTTTTAAAGCGATGCCTTGAATATATTAAAGAATAATAGTTTTAGTATCCCCATTTTGCACAGTGTGTGTGTGTGTGGTGCAGAATAGTGGATGTGCTACATGAGACCACACAAGTAGGGGAAAGCAGGTATATATCATATTGCATATATTATATTTAGACGAATGTGTTGTTCGCACATGCTTTAGGGTCTGCTTTACATTTACCTCTCAGGTGCAAATCTATTCTCTTCAGTTAATGGCACTAAATCTTAGCCAATATCGTATATTTATGGGAAGTAGGAACTGAAAAAGTAGAGTTTGGCATGGAATCACTTGGGGTATTTAGGATATTAGTAGAAAAAATGAATTTCATTTAGTTTTGATTTTGTATAGTCTTGTCAACTGTGGTTTCCAGAAGTTCTGGCATATTGCAGTTTGATAGATTTCACTGAGAAATGTATTGAATGTGAAAGCTGTGAATATTACTTCTCCTTCAGTGCAGGACATTGAATATTGTTCTTATGCATGATTCTGTTAAACTCTATTTTCTTTGGCACATCTTTCTTATCTGTCTTACAGCTTCATGTTCATTTAACTTAATATTTAATCTTTGCTCAATTCTGAGTAGGAACTTGAGTAGTGGTAGCTATATGATGAGCAATTAAACCAGAGAGTCAGGATGTTCTGTTAGGACCATCTTGAATGAGTCAGGATGTGCTATTAAATCTAGAATGTGGATAAGACACACCTGGAAAATGCCTTTTATTAGGTTTAAGAATAGATTAGTCTAAAATTATGTTCTGTTAGTGGGTATGTAGATGTGGGTTGCAATTCATTGCAGGCATTAAAAAACCACAGGAACCTGTTATCTGTTTTTAATGGTTGGCTTGATTCCTTAGGTGTAGGTACTGCAACTGGAAGAACTGCAGGGGTACAGGAGTGCTTTCTTTGGATCACAGCTGTAAACTGCTGGAAAAACCGAAAAATGCACAATAGACAGCACATTTGTAAGGAGGCTAGTTTTTAAATTTTAAAAAATAAATACTCTGTAAAGAGAAAAGGAGTTGCTAATGGAAGATGTCTATACATACTACAATGTATGTATAATGGAAGATGTCTTTACATACTACAATGGTAGTTTTCTTTCAAATGGACATCAAATTGGTGGGGCCAGGTTTTCTTGAACATCCATTTTTTCATGAAGTTGGAAAGCTAGTAGTCAGCCAAAGCATGTCATTGCCACATCTCTTGTCCCACCCTCAGCTATGATTGGGACATACAACACAAATGGAGTAGGATAAGTGGCCATCCCAGATTTTGGCTTACTGTCAAAGCTTTTGCGTGACAGCAGTCACGAAATTAAAAGACGCCTGCTCCTTGGGAGAAAGGCTATGGCAAACCTAGACAACATCTTAAAAAGCAGAGACATCACCTTGCCAACAAAGGTCCGTATAGTAAAAGCCATGGTTTTCCCAGTAGTGATGTATGGAAGTGAGAGCTGGACCATAAAGAAGGCTGATCGCCGAAGAATTGATGCTTTTGAATTATGGTGCTGGAGGAGACTCTTGAGAGTCCCATGGACTGCAAGAAGATCAAACGTATCCATTCTGAAGGAAATCAGCCCTGAGTGCTCACTGGAAGGACAGATTGTGAAGCTGAGGCTTCAATACTTTGGCCACATCATGAGAAGAGAAGACTCCCTGGAAAAGACCCTGATGTTGGGAAAGATGGAGGGCACAAGAAGAAGGGGACAACAGAGGACAAGATGGTTAGACAGTGTTCTTGAAGCTACAAACATGAGTCTGACCAAACTGTGGGAGGCAGTGCAAGATAGAAGTGCTTGGCGTGTTCTGGTCCATGGGGTCACGAAGAGTCGGACACGACTAAACGACTAAACAACAAAGCTTTTGCCAGTATGTTGTTGTACTTGGCCGCTGGAGCGCTTGGTGGAAGCAGCAAGACCTCTTGCTGCTTCTGAGAACCTCCAAAGCTTAGTGTGATTGCAAGGATGAGTCCCTTCCCCTTATAAATAGGAAGCCTCCTAGGAGTCTTGTGAATTTAGATCTTTAGACATTGGCAATAGTGCATCTTGGCAGGTTTACCCAGTAAGTTACACTTGCAGAAGTCTTGAAAGTGGGGGTGTTATTCTTTGTACATGCACAATCAACAGAAACACAATTAACATTTCAGTGGGGACTAGCTCAGCAACTATGCATATCTATTAACACCAATGGGGATAACTTAGTAACAGTGTACATACATTTCTAATGTTTGAGGGGATTAGCGAAATAATTCTCACCACAATTAAATCACACACACAAAACATACATTCACTAACACCGGATAGGGCCTTTTCCATGATGGCCCCCCACTTGTGGAACTCCCTTCCTGTGAAGGTGCAGTTGTCCTCTATATTCAGAAGTTTCCAGCTTTCACTCAAAATACATCTTTTGCCGAAGCATTTGGGGAGTGAGTTTGTCGGTTGTGTTTCTGCCGCCTCTGAATCTCTGGTGATGTTTTTGTTTGCGGTACTGTAAGTTGCGGTAATAAATTTTAATTCCGATGTGGGTTGGGTTTTTGTATTGTTCTTTGGGATGAAGGACAATCTAAAAGTCTAATTAAATCAAGAAAATTCTTTAAACTAACTAAAAGATGTAAATTCTGTGGTTTATTGCATAAGATCCTTGAATATATACTGAAGTTAGAGAGAACTTTTACATTGCCTTGTTACAATATTTATGCTTGTTGAGTTTTCCACCTGTGGCCCTTGACTTCACCTGCCAGTTTTGCCTCAAATGTTATCTATGAAGGTGTTCTGATTATACTCGTAGCTCATATTTATATCAGCAAGCAAAATTCTTTAGATAATACAATAAATAATTTCAGTCTTCCTCTACCTAGTCTGTGTCTCTTGTGATTTATCCACCTTATAGTTCAAAGATGGGAAAATGAATTGTCTTATGAATTTACTATTCCCTTCATTTTCTTTCCGACCATCATCATGTATTTCACTGTATTTGCCAGTAGATTTTTCTTTTTTGCTGGAAGTATTTTGTCTAGATTTCTACATTTGACAGGGGTAGTTCTATGGCTTAAAACAATTAAGAAATGTCCATAATCTCATACCTTTTCCCTTTATCGCTTTTAATTTAACAGATATCACTTTGTTTTAATTGTTGGATATAGCGGGATATGTGGTTATATGGACTAGAAACTAAGTTCATTATATTATTTTCATAATATTCTTGTTACTGTTTGCAGAGATCATCATTTGTATTAAGATAAATCTCTCCAGCATTAGATGGGTGATGGGAGATCATTTTTGGTTATGATCTCTTAACCAGCTTGTTCATGAAAGGTAATTGGAAACCTCTCCACAAATTTTGTTTCATCTCTGGCTAAAATGGAGCTACAGTGGTGCCTCGCAAGACGAAATTAATCCGTTCCACGAGTCTCTTCGTCTTGCGGTTTTTTCGTCTTGCGAAGCACGGCTATTAGCGGCTTAGCGGCTATTAATGGCTTAGCGGCTTTAAGAAAAAGGAAACAAACTCGCAAGAACTCGCAAGACGTTTCGTCTTGCGAAGCAAGCCCATAGGGAAATTCGTCTTGCGGAACGACTCAAAAAACGGAAAAACCTTTCGTCTTGCGCATTTTTCGTCTTGCGAGGCATTCGTCTTGCCAGGTACCACTGTAGTCACAGCAGTGGTGGACTTTGGGTTTTAAAATTTCAGCAGCATTCTGTGCGAAGCCAAAATTCAGTGCCTCCCCCCTGCACCTCTTGACTTCCCTTGTTCCATTTTTGTTGTGGTGCCCCCTTGAGGCGCCCTCTCGGCTCAGCACCCTGTGCAGTTGAACCTGTCACGTTCTCCTAAATCTGCCTCTGGTCACAGCTAGTCATCTTTCAAGTGCAGTCGCCCATTGAGTGAGGGTCTTGTATTTGGTCAGTGTAGGCCATGGGTAGGCAAACTAAGGCCCGGGGGCCGGATCTGGCCCAATCGCCTTCTAAATCTGGCCTGCGGATGGTTGGGGAATCAGCGTGTTTTTACATGAGTAGAATGTGTCCTTTTATTTAAAATGCATCTCCACAAAACCAGAAATAGTGTCTTGGTTTGAAAACTTTATCTTGGTCTAAGAATGGAATCCGAACGGTAGAAGGTCACCGGCGGCGGGAGGCCTCATTAGGGAAAGCGCGCCTTGGTTTAAGAACGGTTTTGGTTTAAGAACGGACTTCTGGAACAGATTAAGTTCGTAAACCGAGGTACCACTGTATATGAACATAAAAATAATCCAACAGGCAGAGCATGAGAACAGCAGTCATCCCCAACAACTGGAATTCATGGCAAGCTGCCCCCTGTACTGGGGGGCTCCCAGTAGCCATCCTTACTAATAGCCATTGATTTTCCTCTATGGTTTTGTCTAATCCTCTTTTAAAGCGCCCTTTTCGAAGAAATCTAAGATAAGGACACCACCACATCTTACAGGGGTAAATTGCATAGAGTATATTCTTGGCGAAGTAGTACCTCGTTTTGTGTGTCCTAACTCTACTACCAAAACATTTCAGAAGATTACAATGAGTTCTACTGTTATAACAGAGACATTTCTGTCTTTTTACTTCCATAAATTTCCATGCTATTCATAATTTTTAAAACCTTTGTCTTGTCCTACTTCCACTACCTTTTCTAAGCTGAAAAGCCCCCCAAACCTTAGTATGTAAGGTGCTCCAGACCCTTGATCATTTTGTTTCCTTTTCTAGCTCTGCAGTATCCTTTTTGAGATAAGTGACCAGAATTTTACAATATTCCAAGGTTTGTTTTTTTAAGAGCAGTAGGTCACTAGCAGTAATA